GCGCGCCCGAGCGCCCGGGCCGCGGAGACCCGGGCGCGCTGACTGCCAGGTGGGGAGCGGCCCACGGCCGTGGCGGGCGCGGCCGCTGGCTCGTGGTGAGCTGACCTGGGGCTCAGAAGACCCAGCATGTCCCCTGCCTGCCCTCCCTCCAGCACAGTCGCACCTCCCCGGCCCTCCCCTGCCTCCCATCCCGGCGCCGCCTCCCCGGTCCCAGCTCCGTGCCCTGTGCGGGAGCAGTACCCGCGGTCGGCGGGAGGCGTCGCTAAAGAGGGAGTCGCACATTCCGGGGCGGGGGGAGTAGGGGGGTCGGTTCAGAGTCAAGGGAGGGGCCCCGAACACCCCCTTCCTCCTCGTTTAGTTTCCAATTAAACCCAGACTGTGCGAGCCGCAGCTCCCACGTCACGGGCTGGCACTGCGGGGGAGGCGGCCGCGGCCGGAGGGGGAGGGGAGGCCTGAAGATAACCACGACGGCGGTGACAGAAGTCATCTACAACTGTTTGAACACTTACTGTGTGCCAGGCACTGCTCTAAGCGGTTTCCAGGGATTGTATCCTCTTTGTCCTCACCATAATTCTACGCACTAAGTACTCTTGCACTATCGCCCCCATTTTATGGATAAAGAAACGGGTTCAGAGGGATTAGATAGCTCAGAGAAGGCCTCAGGCAGTGACTGGCTTGCCTTCCTGGATTTGAATCCTGACTCTACCTCTTGCTAGCTGTGTGGTCTTGAGCAAGTCACTTAACCTCTCTGTGCCTTGGCTTGCTTTCCTCATCTGTTCAATAGGAATAACATAGTATTTTGCTCACAGGGTTTTGAGAGAATTCGATGACATAAAGCAGATATGAAAGAAGCAGATACAGGTCCCAAAACAGTCACAGGCACATAAGAAGCTTATAGAAAGCGTTTGATATTATTATTATTGTTATTGTTATTATTATTATTGTCCTTCGAGGCCTAACTCAAACATCATCTCTCCTAGGAAGACTTCGAAGATGCCCTTCCACCCCAGACAGAGGTTTTCTTCTCTTTTTCCCGGTTCCTCAGCTCCAGGGTTGTACATTTTTCAAGTGTCAAAACTTGGAGTTTGACAAACACATTTGAAACAATGCTACAGGAAGAGCCTGTCCCAGGGCAGATCCTTACACTATTTCTCCCCGTGAGTTTGTTGTTTACCCTCCTAAGAGTTCTTGGAAGAACTGGCACCAAGCCTGACTCACTTTGGTCAGCCCAGGGCTGGGCACCAATGTGAAGGCCCCAGCCGAATGATTACCGCAGCCGACACCCAGACCGGCAGGACCAGGAGGGCCCAGAACAGCCACAGGAGTAGCCAGTGATCTGTCTCCCAAGCTCCCTCCTTGACTTCCCAGCTGGCACTCCAGCCAAGCTGGTAAGGGATTCTGATCCCTGGAGTTCTCTCTCCAGCTGTCCGCTACCTGCGGAGTCCTCCAACTTCCAAAGACTGGGCCTCAGTTACCCCATCTGGGCTATGGGTCTAGCAGGGCTGGCCCCAAGGCTTAGAAGTATTGCAGCATCCTTCAGCAGCGTACGAGAGGTGATCCAGGGTCAAATCCAGAACCGCGGTAGCCCCAAGGGAGTGTTAAAACACCAACACCCTCCAGGTGCCTTACTAAGCAGCCCCCGATTCCTTACCAGGGGAAAACAATACTTGCTAAGTGCATGCTACTTCAAGATAGGCGCCCTGTCCCTTTCCCACCCCCACCTAGGTGAGAGCTTTTGGCTAACCCTTTTTCTTCTGAGATCCTGCAGAGATCTCAGATAGGCTCTCCGGCCCCCAGAGACCCCTGATGGAACCTGAGGGGCTAGGTCCTGGGGCCACCTGGGATGCCAGCCAAACTGCCACCAGCCAACTCGGCCAGTCTTCCGGAGCTGAGCAGGAAGTCTCATTCCCAAATGCCCCTCCCCAGGCCCCCAGGAAGGTTATGAAAGCTATGGAATGTGCCAGCCAGGCCTCCAGGGAGCTAGCTCTGGCACTTGTCCAATAACCGGATTTGGACCCTGAAATGCGTCTGGGGCTGTGGCCACAGTCCTCGAACTTTCCGAATGGCTTGGCCACTTCCTGTTGTTCTGAGAAGTTTTGACTTGAAACTGGCAGAGGGTTTGAGGTCTCCCAGGGCATCTCCCGTCAGGGCACCAAAGGGTGAAGGAGGCGGAGAGAAAGAGTGTGACCTGCTGGGGGCTACCCAGCTCGGGGAGGGGAAGGTGGGCTCATGAGCACCCAAGCCTGGGCTGTCATGTGGGAAGGGTCTCACCTTTCTCAAGGGTTGTTGTGAGAGTTGATCCAGAGGCCGTGTAAGGCACCTGGCATCATTCCTGGCACATAGTAGGTGCTCAAGAAATGGTTAGCCTCCTCTCTTTCCCCTTCCTCGAAGCCCTTAAAGACAAACCCAGGATCATCTTCTTGCCAGCTCTCTACCTAGCCTAGCACCGCTGGGATGCTCACAAGAGCTGCAGAACACCTTCAGTAGCAGGAGACGCTGAGCTCAGGGGTTAAGAGCAGAGGTTCGAGCATCCAGCCAAGCCAACCTGGGACTGAATCGTGGCACCTACACTTATGAGCTGGCTGTTCTCGGGCACCCTCTGGGTGCCTCGGTTTCCTTGTCTGTAAATTGGGGATTAATAACAGCACCCACCTCATCTCCTGGGTGTGAGGATGGGATGAGGAAAAAGTCAGATGTTCAACACACCCTGGCATACAGCAAGGGCTCAGTAAGAGTCGCGGCCATAGTAGGACATCCTGAACCCACGGCCGTACCTGACACCGAGCTCCCCGAAGTGGAACACCAGACCCCACCCCGAATTCCAGGGACGGATGGCGCAACCACACCTCAGTAGCCACCGCGGCTCCAGGCTGCTGCGCAGGAAGAATCTGGGGCTTTGCATCTCAGCTGAGAAATCTGATCGAGAGATCCCAAGGTCAAGGATGGCTGTGGCCATGGCTTTCTACCTCGGTGTTCAGCGACGCCACAGTGGGAACGTGACACCGTCCATGGCAGGAGAATTTACCCCCATGGAAACCGGCAACTGCTACAAGGCAGGGGGTGGGGGGGTGGGAGGGTCAGTTTAACAACACAACACCGGGCACCAGATTCCCCAGCCACATAGCCTTCTAGACGCCACTTAACACTCTTAAGATTTTGCTCATATCCCCTCACCCCACACCCACAGTGCCCTCGCCCTGTCCTGCCTTCCATCAGGAAAGCCCTGCCCCTCCTTTTCCTGTTTCCTTGTTGATCTCCCACCCATACAATTGGATAAAGATGAGGAGGGGTAGAGCGAACAAAGTACAGACGATGTCGTGTCAATGTCACGGGACTACGACATAGCTGTTAGAAAGGATATGCTCAAAGACTGGGAATGACGGGAAAAAACGCTGAAAAAAAGAAAACCTAAGTGATGAGGCAAACACGACCATCTCCACAGCAGCATCCTGATGCCACAAAATGTCATATGTATATGCTTCGTTGAATATTCCTTTTATTCGGCAGATCTGTGTCAAGTGCCCACTGTCTGCCAAGCAGTGGTGATGCAGCGGGGTACAAGACCGCCCAGCCCTGCTCTCCTGGGGCTCTCAGGCGCGTGGGGAACTGACAAAAGTCGCTTGCCGCTGAAGAATACACTCTCAGTAGGAAGTAGGAAGTGATACGCAGATGACAGAGCAGACATCAGAGTCCCCAGCAGCAGAGAGCTTTCCTAGACATAATTGTGCTGCTTTTTATCCTCAGAAAATACTCCGTGCCCCCTCCCGTTTCTGAAGGCACCACTGCCCCGGCTTTGTTGATGGCCCACAGCCTCCGGGAAGGCAGCGACGACCACTCCCCACCCCCACCCCCCACCCCCTGCCTGTTGGCACCATTCTGTGACCCTGGTCTCCTGTTCTCTTGTTTTGTGGTATTTTACACGCTCGTCTTATCTCTTAAATGTCAGGGACAATGTCTGATTCATGCCGCGCCTCCCACACCGCTTGGCACATAAGAAAGACTCAGAACGCACTCGCTGGGTTAAACAGAATTCTGTTCCCCTCCAGGGCTGGAATCTGGCCTCTCTCGTGGTGATAATAGTTGTATTATTTCTTACTTCCTCCCCCCAACTCAGTGCCTAGGATGGCAGCTTCGTCACTGCCAACTTACCGCCTCTCTGCTCCACTTCTACCCCCAAACCAGGGGCAGACCCCTCTTCTGGCTCCACAGACCTGTCTCTAGACCTCAGTTTCCCCTCCTGGGAAGTGGCACCATCCCTTCCGAGGCCAAGGTTGGGGCAAGGCAGACAAGCCCTGGCCCAGGTTGGGGGTGAGGAGTGTGTTCTTTGTCTCGGGAACACAAAGCCCCATTTGTGATCGCTGGGCACGCTTCTGGGCCGGGAGCCACGTAGGACAGGAGGCTGAGGTGGGAGGAGTGGGCAGGATTTCCACAAACCCCTCCCGTGGGCTGGCTGCCGAGGAAGCAGTAAGTCCCCTCCTCCCACAGCCTGAAACAAGGTAGCCTGTCGGTCTGACCTGCTGCTTCCTCCTTCCTCAGGCCTACTCCCCAAGATGCACCCCCCACCCCCGCCTTGGAATGGAGAAGTAGGAAGGGGGAAACCACCCGAGCATGAGACTTGGGGGTGGGGAGAGTGGATATTTCCAGAGCTGTGGCCAAGGGCAAGGCCGGCTGAGAAGTTGTGTCCTGCTGTCACTCAGCAGCCCCACTCACCCTATCTCCCAGGACGTGGGGACAGACCCAGGTGGGGGTTTGGGACCTCTGCCTCAGCAGCATGACAGGGGAGCCCCAAGAGGACCTGAAAGCAACGCCCCATTTAAAACAGAAATGCTGA